CGCACGCACGCACGCACGCACGCACGCACGCACGCACGCACGCACCCACGCACGCACGCACACACACATATATCTCAATTTTTATTGCAGAGAGAGAGAGAGCGAGAGAGAGGAAGAGAGAGAGGGGGACGAGAGAGGGGGACGAGAGAGAGAAAGAGAGAGAGAGAGCGGACGAGAGGAGAGAGAGGGAGAGAGTCAGTCAGACTAAATTGTTTATAAACAAATAACACCCACGCGGCGCGCTACTGTATCAGTTACGTCATCGATTGAAATGTACATTCCGATTTCGCAGCGCGGCGTCCAAACTTTCGACGAAGATTGATTATTCTTCTGATAAACTCACTGGCAACCGAATCAAGTGCGCCCTCCCGCCACCGCATTCGCGCTTAGAGCATATATCTAGGATACTACTAATACAGATCTAAAATCGATGATATCTAGGCTTTGCTATACCGGTAGTACAGTAATAAAGATACAGCTGTGTAACTTTAATGATTTCGCTATATTAACAAGTTATCATGGATATGCGTCAAGCGCGAGCGTAGTGGTGGTGGTGGCGGGAGGGTGGTGGTAGGGGGCTCTAATAGCAAAAGCAGTTGCCGCGAGATGGTGCGTGCAAGTGTCATCAATAATCAAAGATGGCATTGCCCTTCGTGCGTGATAATCTCACTCCATTGATTTGCTGAAATCCTACCGGCTAAAATCCAAGTATATTTAGGCAGGCGAGAATTTCGCTCAGCTGTGACTTAACACATCTGCATTGCAGGTTGCCAGGCAATAATTATGATTAGAATAGTGCCAGTTCACCCCCATGCATGCGTAATGGGTTGCCCCTGTGTTTTTGCCTACCCACGCGAGCATTCGGGGTGCTATTACAGTGTGCTAATACAGGGTGCTACTCAGGGTGCTAATACAGACTGCTTTAGAAAATAATATGACTTAAACTTAACTTAAGGAGCATAAACCTTGTTCAACAAAAATTTGCCTTTGCAATTGAATTGTGCAACTGTAGCCTCACATCCACAATAGCAAAAGCAGTTCAGTCCTTTGTTGACAGTCAACAAATCGATGTTTAACCCTCCCTTTGAGGGTCAAAAGGTTATCAGACACTTACTCTTCGCACGTCAGTGGACGTACGTACATTTCATGGTCC